TATAACTAAAAAAAAAAAAAAGACTAAGTACACAAAATTATGACTAATTAAACTAAAATTAAAAGAAACAATGAAAACAAAACAAAAAAAACTATATAAAATAAAAACTATAATAGCATACAAAAAAAAGCTAAAATAACTCTAGCTTGCACCAAGTTTGACATCAATGACACCACAATTGTTTCTTTAGTGTTGTGGTGTGAATAAAATGTGATCACTACAACAGATGAGAAACAACTCAAATAAAACTATCATGTGACATCAAAAGAATAGGATTATCACGCACACAAGTCATTTGGGCTACTTTCATGCTGCTTTTTTGAGTTGACAGTCATTGTATGATCACTAACATTCTTCAAAACGTTCCTAGAGTGAGTAAATGACAATTTACATTTATTCCTTTAACTACCCATCTAGCTTTAATCCGAGTCTGTTAGTTGCATGAATCTTGCAAGCAGGTGAGATGAACAGAAAACAGGAAGGGATGAGTGCTAAATATGAAATGACAGACAGAAACATGCACAGTTACAGAAAGTGCAGACAGTCCCACAATCACCCTTAACAGACACCTGTGTGGGCTGCGGGGAGGATGGAAGCTTACGTAACATACTGCATAACGTACCTCAAAAGAATTACTGCCAAGATCAATTTGAATAACTTACATATTTTAATAATATATGTTTAAATTTGTATAATCTAAGCTACTATTAAAAGGAAATATTCTTGAATTTAATGCAACTTGGCTGGGTGCCAGGGTGTTGCTAGGCTGTTTCTAGGGTGTATTTTAAGGCAAGACACCACATGTGAATAGGGTAAAGCAATTAACTAATAGATTTCACCATACTTCCTCAGTTTATTAATTACATCAAGTTTTCTGTCGTTTAAATATGAAAATGAGGCATTATCTAGTTAAAGATGCACTAATTTGCAAAGATTTTCCTGAACAAGGGATTAAGCCAGGTTCAAAATTTTTGTTTGATTTTGTTGACATATTAGAGTTAAAGGTTTATACAGAGGGGATTTTGGATTTCTCTTTTTATTACTCCATAAATTAGAAAATACTGTCAACAGACAGAAAGAAAACACAATTTAGCCATGATCAATTTGAATAACTTACATATTTTAATAATATATGTTTAAATTTGTATAATCTAAGCTACTATTAAAAGGAAATAAATGAATTTAATGCAACTTGGCTGGGTGCCAGGGTGTTGCTAGGCTGTTTCTAGGGTGTATTTTAAGGCAAGACACCACATGTGAATAGGGTAAAGCAATTAACTAATAGATTTCACCATACTTCCTCAGTTTATTAATTACATCAAGTTTTCTGTCGTTTAAATATGAAAATGAGGCATTATCTAGTTAAAGATGCACTAATTTGCAAAGATTTTCCTGAACAAGGGATTAAGCCAGGTTCAAAATTTTTGTTTGATTTTGTTGACATATTAGAGTTAAAGGTTTATACAGAGGGGATTTTGGATTTCTCTTTTTATTACTCCATAAATTAGAAAATACTGTCAACAGACAGAAAGAAAACACAATTTAGCCATGTTTTTAGGAATAAAATCAATGTGAATGACATATGAACAAAACCCTCAGTAAAAACCTTCAGAATATAGAAAGGAATAAAACCCTAAGTTTTGGTGTATGCAAGTGCTGCTGAAGTGGAGGAAAAAATACTTATAGCTTTTAAAGATATGCATTTTCGCCATGTTTTTAGGAATAAAATGTTATATAAATCATTGTGAATGATATATGAACAATCCCCTCAGTAAAAACTTTCAGAATATAGAGAGGAATAAAACCCTAAGTTTTGGTGTATGTAAGTGCTGCTGAAGTGGAGAAACAAACCTCACAGCCTTTAAAGATATGTATTTTCGCCATATTTTTTAAGTAATAAAATATATAAATCAGTGCGAATGATATGTAAACAAACCCCTCAGTAAAAACATTCAGAATATAGAAAGGAATAAGACCCTAAGTTTTGGTGTTTGCAAGTGCTGCTGAAGTGGAGGAAAAAATACTTAAAGCTTTTAAAGATATGCATTTTCGCCATGTTTTTAGGAATAAAATGATATATAAATCATTGTGAATGATATATGAACAAACCCCTCAGTAAAAACGTTCAGAATATAGAGAGGAATAAAACCCTAAGTTTTGGTGTATGCAAGTGCTGCTGAAGTGGAGAAAAAACTTTTAAATATATGTTTTGTCATTCAAATCTACAGACGCAAATAGATAAAATAAACATTTAAATGTGTATTTTAGGTGTTTTCTTTCCACTAGTCTGAAACACATTATGAAAAACCAAAAAGCCCAAAATCTCAAAACTAACCAGTTCATTTTTGCTTGTAGTGTCTTGCCTTAAAATAATCAAACTTGTATTGAACCCAGAACGTTATGCATTCAATGCATATGCATTTATCCATCAAGCATTTAATATCTCTAATCAACAAATCCATCCTCCACCCCTTGCGACCCATTCAGGTGTCCCGAGCACAGACGGATTTCCGTGTTGTCTGAGATCTCGTGCCTGAGCACTGATCGGAGGTCAGCCGCACACACTGACCTCGCACTTGCTGCTCCAGGTTGAGAATAACGTTTACGGCCTGGTGAAGGACGAGCAGTTTGGTCTGAGGTTTCTCATTGTTCATGTGCATCTGGCACATGCGGCCCAGCTCTTTGAAGGCCTCGTTGATGTCACGCACACGCAAACGCTCACGGGCGTTATTGGCCACGCGCCGCTCTTTCTCCCGCTCCGCCTTCACCTCAATCGGCAAATCCTCGTCATCTTCTTCGTCATCTTGACTTCATGGGTCAGAGGAACAAAGGGTTGAGAGGGGTTACAGGCAAAACAATCAGGGCACACTGACAGGGACGACGTGTACCTCATGTCAATGTTTTACAACGGACCAATCAGAAGCTGCTGGAGGTGGGAACGATGAGTATATAGAATGTTTACAGATGCAACTCTTATCAACTGCAACCTTAGCAACTAGCAATCAAACGTTTTGAATTCGATTTTTTTGTGTTTTTGAAAGAAGTCTCTTCTGTTCACCAAGGCTTGCATTTATTTGACCAAAAATAGAGTCAAAAAAGCAGTAATATTGTGAATTATTTTTGCAAATACAGCTGTTTTCTGTGAACATTGTAAAATGCACATTATTCCTGTAATTTTCAGCATCATTACTCCAGTCTTCAGTGTCACATGATCCTTCAGAAATCATTCTAATATGCTGATTTGCCGCTCAAAAAAACATGTTGAAACAGTTCATGCTGCTTATTATTTTTGTAGAAATCATGATACGCTATCATTCAAAAGTTTGGGGTAAATGAGATTTAAGAAAAAAAAAATACTTATTCATCAAGGACACAGCAAATTGGTCAAAAGTGACAGTAAAGACATTTATAATGCTACAAAAAATTATATTTCAATTAAACGCTGTTCTTTTGAACTTTCTATTCAAAGAATCCTGAAAAATAAAATGTATCACAGTTTCCACAAAAATATTGGGCAGCACAACTGTTGATAATAATCAGATGTTTTTTTGAGCAGCAAATCAGCATATTAGAATTACAGCTTTGATCACAGAAATAAATTACATTTTAAAATATATTCACACAGAAAACTGTTATTTTAAATTTCAGAAATATTTCACTGTTTTACTGTATTTTTGATTAAATAAATGCAGCCTTGATGAGCAGAAGAGACTTCTTTCAAAAACATTTTTAAAAATCTTAATTTCAAACTTTTGACCTGTACTGTATATTTATTTCTCCTGGAACTAAATGAAGGTTCGCGGGGCGGCAGGTACCTCGTTCGCGTGTGGCTTTTTCCGTCTTTCTTCTCGTCCTCTGATTTATCTCCAATAGACAGGTTCTCATCGTCTTCCTTATCTTCCCGCTTTATTTCCGAGCTGGAGGAACGAGGCAGAGAAAGACCTGACAGACAAAACAAGATGAGATTAGCAACAGAAAATGCTGATCACACTGTGCGGCGGCAACAGAACTGTGAAATCATCCTGTAGTTCATTAAAGGATGAAGACTCATGAACGTACATTTATGCATTTGGCAAATGCTTTTATCCAAAGTGACTTGCATTGCATTCAAGGTATGCATTTTATCGGTTCATGCATTCCCTGAGAATCGAACCCATGAACTCATCGTTTCTAACACCATGTTTGAGCTACAGATAAGTCGTGTCTGAAAAGCATGCATGATACAAAAACATTTTGCATGCTTGTCTGCTAAAATACTTGCACAAAGCACATCATTTATGAATCTCAATCAATCAAATGTCATGAAATGAGCATTATAATTAAAAAAGCAGCACTGACTGGTAAAGGCGTCGGACTGGGAAGTGGGCGGAGCCTGATGGGGGGCGTGGTGTCCCTGCAGCAGAGCACTGGACTGTGGTAAACCTGCGGCGTCATCACTGTGATTTGACATCTAGAGGAAAGAGCAGGAGACGGTTAAATTGTCAATATTTGTTTTCACTACATTTTCTCTTGCTGAACAGCAAAATTAAAATTAGTTTTGATGGCAGTTAATTGTTTTGACAGTTTTCAACTAAATTTAGAGAAACAAGTCTAATATGCCTATTTCATAGGGCACAATTATTGTTACAATGTTAATAAATAATTAATTTGATTAACACTGTTTTTGATAATACATTTGTATTAAATCATAAAACACATAATCCAGAAAAATGAAAACTGACAACAGTGAAAAAATAAAGCATAAATTATTAGGGCACTATTATTGTTATTTTTATTTTTACTTTTTTAAGTATTGTGAATTCAAATTATTACACATCCTTATTGATTATTAAAAAAATATTTTATCTATTAAAAAATGTAAACAACAGAATTTGTGAAAAAATAAAACTGCTTTCATAGGACCCTAAAAAATTTTTTTTTGTAAAACGTTTAATGCTTTCAAAGGGCATTTGTAATTTTTGTAAAGCTTGTTTTTAAATTATACATGTTTAAGTATGTATAAGTTTCATGATTTCATTGATTAAACATGCTTTGATTACTAAAATTTAATTTAGCAAATTCGTGAAAAAATAAAGCAGATTTCATAGGGCCCTAAGCAGGCATCTCACAAGGGTTGGAAACAGAGCCACGTTAACAAACACTCACCAGGCCCGGCAGACGGCTGATGAGCCCGAAGGCCTGGCTGATGGAGCCCAGAGCCGCGGCACCAGCCGGATGTCCGCTCAGTAAACTGTGCATGTCTGCGCCCACAGCATGATTCCTCAACACATGCAGCGCTTCACCCAGACGGTCATCCATCTTATTCTGCAAAAAACACAAATTACTTAAGCTGACAGAGTCAAAGATTATCAAATGCACAACGAGACCGTATGCAACAGAGCCTGGCAACGAAGATGTTAGAGATAATAGAGGAAAAAATGTGATTTATGCCTATTTGTTTTAATACATTTTTATCAGCTGATTAGACATTTCTATAATTTTGTTAAAAACTGTCAAAACCATTAACAGCCATCAAAACAAATGTTAATTTTTCTGCTCAGATGAGATACTTTTATAGTTTTATTAATATTTTGAATCAGTTTTATTTCTATATTTTATTTCTATATTTTCATTATATATAATTTTGTTATTTTTAGTGGTGTATTTAGTAGTTTGTGTGTGTCTAGTTTCATGATTTTTTTTCAGTTGCCATGGAAACTAGCTGGAAAAAAAAACAACCCATTTTTATCAGCTGATTAGACATTTCTATAATTTTGTTAAAAACTGTCAAAACCATTAACAGCCATCAAAACAAATGTTAATTTTTCTGCTCAGATGAGATACTTTTATAGTTTTATTAATATTTTGAATCAGTTTTATTTCTATATTTTCAGTTTTTTTGAACTTCAAAGTTTTAATAATTTTGTTATTTTTAGTGGTGTATTTAGTAGTTTGTGTGTGTCTAGTTTCATGATTTTTTTTCAGTTGCCATGGAAACTAGCTGGAAAAAAAAACAACCCCATTTTATTTTCTTTAATATTCATTACAAGTAATGAAAATAATTTTTTAATTGTTTTAGTTTTAATTATAAAACCCAGGTTCAACACATTGAACTTAATAAAAAAATAAATATAAAAAGTTGATTTATTAAATATAATGAAATACACTATACATTATAATATACACTATATAAATTATCATAAATATTGTGATTTTTTTTTATTATCCATGTTGTATGATGTTCATAGGTGATTTCATATATATATAAATATATTATTAGTATTATTATCATTATTATTATTAATATAACTCAACTGGAGCATTATGGATGTTTAAGTGTAAAATAACCGTTCTTACATCTGGAACCATAAAGTGAAACTTAATTTATTAAATAAAGCAAAATACTACAAAATAAATTAAAAGTCTCTATATGTGTACTTCAAATATTGATCATAAATAATGTGTGATGTTTCTAGAAATACAATACATGCATATATCATGTGCAACACAGCTCACAGTAAAATGTTTTTTAATCTCTAGTTTTTCTGCTCTATGGTGATGCAGAGGAACGTACCAGCGCCTGCAGTCCGGGCTCAAAACCGGGCGACGGCGCAGGCTGAGAAGAGCCTTTGGGCCACTGAGATGCAGAAGCTGAAAACACAAACACAGATGTCAATACAGCCTCGTGTGCAACCCCACAGCAGATGGCACTACAGAGCCGTTTACAAAGACATGACCCTTCAGGAAACCCACCAGCAACATTTGAAGGAGAGCCCACAGGAGTGGAGGGACTCGAGGAGAAGCTGTTGCCGTTACTGTCAGAGGGATATATCTAAGAAGCACAAGAGACGATATTAAGTAAATGGTGGAGCTGAAAGAGATACACAATTGTTGTGTTTATCAGTATGTGTTATTTTTAATACATTTTTCAGTATGAATCACCCAGACTGTCCCCAATGATCCGAAATAATCACATGATATTTATCATCAATATCTACATACAGAAAATTATATGTGTGTGTGTGTGTGAGAGAGTGTGTGTGTGTGTGTAAACTTTGATTTTATGGCTCCAGAAAACATTATATAAACAATACAAATAATTTCTGTTAATATTTATTTTCATGAAGTTCTCAAAACAATGTAGTGAACATCTTGTGCTGCAATTTGAGCGGCAATTAGATTAAAATTAAAATGTGTCTTTATGCTATTAGTGGTTTGGACTAAATTTAGAGAAATGTGTCTCATCAGTTGAGAAAATGTGAAAAAATTAATTAACTTTAATTGAAAAAATAAAAAACATTAACTGAAATAAAATGTAAATAATAATAATAACTTCAGTTAGTTGCCAAGGCAACATTAAAAAATTTTTTTTCATTTAAGTTGAAGAAATCAAATTTCTTGAAACTGAAATAAAAATGTATAAAAACAAAAACATATTGGGAAAAAAAACTAATTAAAATAACAGTAAATTACTAAATATTTAACAAATTAAAAATAAAAATGGAAAACGGAAAACTAAAAGCTAAAAATAAAAACAAAACAACACTACAATAATTTATGAATGAACAAATATGCATAATCAAATAACTTCTGATTAATTAATCCAATTATTTATGTTTAGTCACAAAACTGCAATTCAGGAAATTCCTCTTCCTGTCATTCCAATTCAACATCCTGTGCGGCATTGCCAATTAAAATGATTTAATTATTAAAATTATTAAAAATTATTATTAATAAAAAAAATTAGCCTATTCTTAAATTCAGAATCAAGCAAACTTGATTAACCAGTCGATAATTAGCCAATTTGACGATTAACAAATTTTGCCCAAAAATCCATGCAGTTCCAAAGTAAATTTTGAAGAAATAACAATACAATAAATGTGTAATTAAGTCGTATCTCAAAATGATCATCCATATCAGCCACTCCTTAGTCCACTAGTGATAACTAGCCTCTGAGAAATGGTCAACCACTAGTTAATCACCGCATTAAACTGTAAATGTCACACTGTGAAACCTCAAACTCACCGAAGCGAGAGCTTTCCCGATCTCCGCGCCGGAGCTGCCTGTGTTTCCAGCTCTGCTGACTGCTAACAGAGAATGAAGCTCAAGTTTACAGGTGAATGTGAGTGACTCAGACGCAGCAGTGAAGCCGAGCGCTGCTCTCTGGTTTGTGGTGGCGTCAGGGTGGACACTCTTACCCATGATGCCATCCGTGGTGCTGATGGGTGGCGTGTGGTTGGGAACGCCGTATCCAGCCGAGGCCTGGTGGAAGCTGGTGGGTAAGTTAACCTCGTAGTTCTGCGGCGACAGGGGCAAAGGCTGCCGCTTCTGTGGACGAGACACAGACATGCAATTATTCACGAGCATGTGGCAAACATGTTATTGTATCTATCATCCAGCTATTGAGACGCTGAGAGAGAGCAGGCTCAACATCAGGAATGTTCGAATGCTTTTCCACATCGAGGTCTGCGGTAATTAAACGCATTTTTTCTGTGGTCTCTGGCTCATCAGAAAGGGGGGAAAAAAACATCTCGATGAGGTCTTCAGGACCTATTTTTAATGAATCTGAGATCATGACCGATCAGACACAACTAAGCCTCAAATAAACACCTGCTCTCCAACTATCTGTGTGCATATATAATATAATATATAATATATATATATATATATATACACACACACACAGTAGATACCGTAAATTTATATATTTTTTTGCGTAATTTTATGATTTATATTTAAATATAAAAATGATATACTTAAAAACAAAGTATTTAAATATTTTCCCCCCAAAATAAATAACTTGACCTGAGATACCATATACATGACAATATTATAAATTTAGCCAAATATATATTTTTATATATTTAGAAATACAAAAATGTTATATTTAAATAAAAATTATAAATTAATTTTTTTTCCAAAAATAAATAACCTTCGACAAACGCCAATGGCGAGTGATCTGAGTAGCGTTACCATAATTTAGCCATTTATATAATTAAATAAATACATTTTATATATTTAAATTTAAATATTTATATATTTAAATACAAATTATAAATTATTTATATATACATTTACGTCCTTTTCTGTGATGGTCAGATTATTGTAAACGTTTCTGTTTTTATTAAATTGATATTTAATGGTGTTAAGTGTATTAATCTTATGCCGCAAGTGACAACCGAAGGATTTAGTTAATCATAGTACTTTGTGACATTTAATACATGAACATAAATTTTTATTATTTCTTAGACATCAGCTAAATTTCTCAATCCTGACAGCACTGGGCACAACCTTAAAAAAAACTCTGAATATATGAGAAATAGTTCAATTCTAATCCATAATATAACTCCAGATGGACGAGTGTTGGGCTCACCTGTGTGTTTATGGAGGAGAACGGAGCCGGCTGACCGATGTGAGGAGAGTTACTCATGACAGGAGGATAACCAGACTGTCCCCAATGATCCGGAAGCCCATCTGAGAAACCAAAACAACATGTAATCCACAAGAAACCGGCTGGAAGATTAACAGTAAAATTACTGCAAAAGAAGCAGACGCTGACGTTACATTACTCTGCTCATTACACTGCCACTTATCATCAAATAATCAAATAAACAGACATGAAATATTGAGTTTAAGTAATTTTATGTGATTAGAAAGAGCACAGTGATATGCAAGGCATAAAACTAGAATATAGTTTCATGATGCACAAATATTTGACCACGAAATGCCTGTTTTATTTAATATTTACAGCTTTTTTATATTGAATATATACCTCAATATTTATGTATTTGCTCGAGCATGAACTGAAAATATCAAATATGCATGATTGCAAAGTCCATTATGAAAGTCTACTGCAAGAATAGAGTAGAATATCTGGTTTAAAAAAAAAAAAAAAGTTTTCCACTAAATTAACAAGAAACATAATAAATATTAAATGTTTATACAAAATACATGTAGCAATGCAGTTAAAAAAAAGCTGAAAAATACTAAAAAAAAAAAAAAAAAAAAAAAAAAAAAAAAAAAAATTTTTTTTGGGGAGGAAAGAAAAAAAAAAAAAAAAAAAAAAAAAAAAAAAAAAAAAAAAAATGAAAAATACAAAAAAAAAAAAAAAAAGACGAATTATTTTTGGTGATGCAATGTGACGTTCACAATATTTCTAATCACCAACAAATTACTGCAAAAGAATACGAGATATAAAAATAGCAATGAAGGAAACGTTTAGTTTCAAGATGCACAAATATTTGACCACAAAATACCTGATTTTTTAAAATAATTATAGCTTTTTTATATTGGACATATACCTCAAAATTCATGCATTTGCTCTAATATGAATTGAAACACGCAATCTGGACCAAATATGCATGATTGCAAAGTCCATTCTGAATGTCTACTGCTAAAATAGACAGAATATTTGGTTAAAAACTAATTAATAAATAAAAAAATTAAAAAAGTTTTCCACTAAATTAACACGAGACATATAATAAACGTGACGCTGGAGCACAAAAGCAGTGTTAAGTCGCTGGGGTATATTTGTAGCAATAGCCAACAATACATTGTATGGGTCAAAATTATAGATTTTCTTTTATGCCAAAAATCATTAGGATATTAAGTAAAGATCATGTTCCATGAAGATATTTTGTAAATTTCCTACCATAAATATATCACAACTTAATTTTTGATTAGTAATATGCATTGCTAAGACCTTCATTTGAACAACTTTAAAGATGATTTTCTCAATATTTGGATTTTGTTGCACCCTCAGATTCCAGATTTTCAAATAGTTGTATCTCAGCCAAATATTGTCCTATCCTAACAAACCATACATCAATGGAAAGCTTATTTATTCAGCTTTCAGATGATGCATACATCTCAAATTCGAAAAATTTACCCTTATGACTGGTTTTGTGGTCCAGGGTCACAAATATGAAACGTTTATACAAAATACATGTAGCAATACATTTAAAAAGGCAGAAAAAAAGAACACAAAAGGTCATTAGTTATTTTAAGTGATTGCAAATGAAGTGATAAATAGCACATTAAGATCAGTGTGATGTTTATAACATTACTAATATTCTTGACATCACTCAGACAGAAACTACCCACATACCCGGCCAGAAAGAGCCTGGATAAAGGTTTGCAGCTTTGGATCCGGGGTATCCGGTGCCATCCTGGTTATAGTCCTCTCCGGTGGAACCGGGATAAACCTGCCAGACAGAAGAAACCAAAGCTGGGATTCAGGTTAATGGGAATGTGATGCAGAGCCCACCAAAGCCATGTGATCGCTCAGAAGACGCAGTTCTGCTTTAGCTGCAGTGTGTGCAATAAATTAGGAAACATTCATCAGAAAACGAACCCTGACTCAAGGGAAAGTCCACAATAATGACACGCCGACGAACCACAAGCAGTGCCTAAAATAACTTTGATATTTCAATGGCCAGTTACCATAATTTTAGCCATTTACATATGCATTTTTGTATTTATAATTTGAAAAAACTAAAACTAATTACAAATATTTATATATTTAAAACAAATTTCCAGTCAAGAAATGGTATTTCACAATTTTATTAAATATTTTTCTTTCTGTATGATATTTATAGTTACCATTTTATTAAAATATAAATTTCTATTCAGCTTTAGTCACCTGTGTTGTTTTGTCACTGTTTCTGTTGTCATATATACAAAATACATGTAGCAATATATAAATTTTTTTTTTTGCTTTTTTATTTGCTTTAAACAAACAGGGAACATTAATAGCCTGTATATTAAATACTGCAGTTGTAAGTGTAGACAACAGGGTTTACACTGCCATCGTTTGAGAATATTGTATACAAAGTGATCAGCTAACTAATTAGCTGACTACATATGACATGCAGATGTATGTATATACCCATACACACACTTTCACATGCATCCAAACACCCATATATATATATATATATACACACATACGTACATATACAAAATCCCGAATGCATTTACACCCACATGTCACTATTAAGATACTTCACAGTGAAATAATTTAACTGACTAAAACATCGAATATACGAATACAAGAAGTTACTAGTGACTATTAGACCTCTTATCTCTCAGGATACTGCTTGTTCCCTAACATAAACATAAGCAAGAACTAAACAAAGGCCGTAGTACAATAACCTAATTGTCGGATATCTTATAATTCTTTGTTGAAGAATTAAACAATATATGATTTAATCTGTTTCCAAATCTTTAGAGTTATTTATTACTATATTTTCATTATAAAACCTTGACTCAATTTTTATTGGACTATTCAACAAAGCCTCTAAAGATGTCGTCCTACAAGAAGTTCTTTCTAACCAAACCCATTCTGGTATCTCCACTTTATTTTCTGGAGTTTGTCTCCACCAAGAAAGGAACCGTAACGGCACAGTAGTAACTTCTGAAGGAAGGAAGACTAAATCCTCCTTCTGCTTTGGGCTTGCATAGATGTTTTTTAGATATTCTGACAGCTTTATAATCCCATATAAAAGAAATAATTATAGAATCTAATTTTGTAAATAGTTTCGCCGGTATCAGAGCTGGAATAGAACAAAATAAATACAAAAATCGAGGAAGCGTTACCATTTTGATTGCATTGATCTTTCCTGCCATAGACATAGGTAAAGTCCTCCAAAATTTTATATTATCTTTTAGCTGATTCACTTTCACATGCCAGTTCGCCTTTAGAAGTGCATCTGCATAAAGAAGTGCATTATAATTCCTAAATGTTTAAATGAATTATGAGCAATTTTAAATAGCATAGAATTTTAAAAAATTGTGTCAATATCCTCAGTTATGGGCATTAACTCACTTTTATCCCAATTTATTGTAAAACCCGATAGTTTATTAAATGATTCTAAAAGCTTCAAAAGAGGTGGAATAGACAATTCTGGCTTTGCTATATATAAAAGTATATATAATTTTTTTTTATAAAACGGTAACTTAAATGTCACTAAAAATTACATAAAATGATACAATTTTAATATCATTTATACATTTTATTTAATATATATTATTTTAATAAAATGGCAACTTAAATGTTACAATTTTATTTTTAAGAAATTTATATATATATATATATA